GGTCCTGTAATAGTGGGCGGGTGCCCAAGGAATTGTTTATATGATAGTTTATACTTGTTGTCTGTGTGATACATGTATGTGCCTGGTAGGCAGGTGAGTGTGGGCGAGGTACCGTATCTCACCGGTAGCAGAGTGTGGATGGGGTTCCATGACTCATCAGTAGCAGGATATGGGCGAGGCCTAGGATAGGCGAGGCCTTAGGACAGAACCATTTTTATGTGTTAGTTATGAAATGTTTATGTGTTATTATTTGTTGGCGAGCGAGGCCCTGTGACAGGCGGGGCCTAAGTAAAACAGATATGTATCCGAGCGGGGCTCGAAGCCAGGCGGGGCCTAGAGCGGCGGGGCCCGAGGTAGGGGGCGTGGCCCAGTATGTGCAGTATGTGGTTATGCATGGTATGTGGTAGGGTGGGGAACTCACTAAGCTTCGTGCTTACGGTTTTCAGTTTTGGTTTCAGGTACTTCCGGTAGCGGTGGGAAGAGCTCGGGGTGATCGCATGGCACACACCATAGATTAGACAGCCTGGGAATGTTTACTCTGATAATGAACATGTGTTTTGAAAACTTATACTCACGTTATGTTTTGGAATGATGACTTTACTCTAAGTAATGATTTATTAAAAGAAATTTTTGGTCTTAAATTTTGGGTCGTTACAAGTTGGTATCAGAGCCTTGGTTTGAGGGATTCGGGCATACTCTCGGGTGTGCCTGAACTCAAACTGAGGGGTCGGATAAAAAGTTTTCAAAAGCGAAAAGATAGTTTTGTAAAGAGAGTTTTGAGAAAGAAAATGGTTTTATAAAAATAAAAAGAATTCAGAAAGAAAAGAACTTTGAAAAGAGAAGAGAGGTGTGGTGCATGCAATCAACCGAGCTCAAGTAAGTACCCCAAAATACCCATATAAGTTTATGTTTTGATTATCAGTTAATAGAACAACATGCTAGATTAGGACTAAGGATCTAGGGAGGATGCGTTATGTGCCTGTTATATGTGCTTTTGATCTGCATGATAGTGCTGAATAGTCAGTAGTAGAATAGCCTGATTAGGTTATGCCTGAGTTTATGAGTTGTGTTGTATGCTAGTTCAGATTCTTGCTATGTGGATATGACTGCTTGAGTATGTTATGGTTAGACTTTCCCCTTGTCTGAATGCTGCTTGCTTTGTGCATTGTGGGATTCTAAGTGATGGGAGTTAGCCATTAGGTGGATACGTCACGTCACATCTGATTAGGGTTGAATAATCTCAGAGTGTTGGATTTGGTCCTATTGCGCAACTCTTGTTTGAGTCCAACCGTTGTAGGAACGAGTCCTTTACTTGAAGGATTATCTGAGCCTCGTCACATGTGATGGTATCCAGGTGATGGCTAATTGGCATTGCGAGGAGGCCTTCAGCAGCTGAGGACTGGTTTAAGTTGAGTCAAAGGTTTCCCTAGGGTAAGCCTAGGATGAGGTAGTGCTGGGAGCAATAAAAGTAGAAAAGGTTCCTGAGGAAAGTGTGGATAGATGTGGAAGGTAGTATGGGCCCGTACTACTGAAAGCAAAGGATCCGTACTTGATTCGGGAAGGGATGAGACAAGACCGGGAACCTGGTAGTGAGTATGTTTGGTCTCGCAGCAGTGAGGAGTATTCTGATAATGGTTATGTTGTATGTTTCAGTATGGTGACATTGCAAGAAGGACCAGCGGGCGGACCAGGCACCGGAGAGGGATTAGGCTCGGGATTAGGGGCCGAGCAGCTCGAGGAGCGGATGAGAGAGTTGATATCAGCGGAGGTTACGCGCAGTATTCTAGCTCAGACTCCTGTGATCTTTGGCACGGTCAAGGAGGGTATATTAGAGATTTTGAATGAGAGGCTGGGAGCCTTCCGTACTGAGATGATGGCTTTGTTGGGAGCGCGTACCTTGACATTTCGGGAGTTCAGGGCTTGCGGGGCACCGGATTATCATGGGGCTAGGGTCCCCATCACTAGCAGCAGATGGTTGGCTGATGTTGCCAACGCATTCCGTACGAGCCGGTGTCCTGAGGAGGACAAGGTTAGACTCGCTTCCTGTCTTCTGAAGGACAGAGCGAGGGATTGGTGGGAGGAGATTGGTCACGCTTTGGGTGATGATGCCGCATTGGTCGCGATGACTTGGAGTGATTTCTCAGCGAGGTTTAGAGCGGAGTTTTCGCCGATTATTGAGGTGCAGCAGTTGGCCCAGGAGTTTCAGGATTTGACGCAGACTACGGAGACTGTGGCGGAGATCACCGCCAAGTTCAGGGAGAGAGCCCTTCTTGTTCCGTAGTATGTCGCGGACGAGGAGATGAAGAAGGCGCGATATCACGAGATGCTGAGGGATGATATCAGGGAATTCGTGAGCAGGTCCGGATGTAAGACTCTGGAGGATATGATCTCTCGGGCCAGGGAGAGGGAAATTGATTTGGAGCTGATCCGGAAGAGGAAGCCGGATGAGGTTCAGGTAGCCGCGAGTTCGGGCAAAAGGCCCAAGGGATCAGAGTCGAGGTCGAGGGATTATCAGGACCGCAGTCGATGCGGAAGGTGTGGCAGGACGCACGGGGGCGCGTGCAGGAGTGGGAGTGGTGGTGAGTCTGGCTGTTTCAGGTGCGGTCGGACTGGTCATTTTAGCAGAGATTGTACTGCTACCATTACTCATGGATCAGACTTGATATGTTTTCACTGCAATCAGCGGGGCCACAAGAAGGCCCAGTGCCCCAGTTTGCTTTCAGCAGGATGGGTGATGGCACCTGCCCCTGCAACTTTGAGGATCACAGACAGCCGTCAGGGCCGTGCGGAGGCGCCTGCGGTTGGAGGTAGGGCTTTTCAGATGGCTACTTTGGAGATGCGAGCAGCGCCGGACGTTGCAGGTATGCGACTTCCGTTTTCAGTTCTTTTATTTTGTGCATGATTATATTGTTATGGTTCTGCATCATTATCTGTGCGAGTATTTTATTTTTGAGCGGGTTGACTTTGATCGAGTTATATGCCATTTGCATACCTTGGATATTTGGTTAGTAATTTAAGGGATGCGTTGTATCGAAGAAGGTTACTTTGAGCGCAATATCTGTAGCATGCCTTGGAGAGACTCGGTATGTCTTGCTAGTTCGGAGTCGTATAAGTTTTAGAATGGACAGGTTAGATCCTTAGCTATGGTAAGCTTGGGATTCCTCAGCGGAATTATTATGGTAGCAAGGATTGGGATTTCTCTTCACTAAGCATCGAGGCGTAAGCAGGATCGAAGCGGGGGAGAATCCTCTGAGTGTATAGGGTAAGGGCATGCAAATCCAGATCGGGTATATGATTTCTGAGAAGGAAAGGGGGTAGTTCAGCGTTTAGAAGTTCGGGGTTGGGAGTTTGAGAACTTCCCATCAGTGCGTGCGTGTAAAGGGTAATGGTGGGTATGTGGTCCGGATTCAGGTTAAAGGGCCGCATGTAGAACTCGTGTAAGTCGGAATGGGGATCTTGAGGTCAAATTGCAGGAGATGGTTTCGTGCTAGCAGTCAGTGGTGGAAGTATTGTCAGGCTATGGGTAAGCTGTAGCATTCCTTAGTCGCTTCGTTAGCGGAGTTGGGGCGAGGCCCTTATTTCCTAGTGATCAGATGGGGATCAGGATGGGTAGTGGTTGAGAATGATAGGGAGTTGCCTGTATAGCCCTAGCGAGGTAAGACCTTAGGAGAGGCCGCTCCAGGATATAGTTGGGTGAGACCCGTGGGCGAGGCCCGTATGAGATTAGCAGTGTAGATGAGACCTAGGAGTAGGGTTGCTCAGTAGTATGGTCGAGTGAGACCCCGTGGGCGAGGCCCGTGAGTTTTTAGCAGCACAGGTGGGACCTAGTAGGGACCTTAGTGTCAAGTTAGGGGATCGGGGATCCCAGGTTTGTAGTGTCTGAGTGGCAGAATTGTTTGAGCAGTTGAAGGTAGTCGAGGTTTCTTTGGAAGACGCTGAGAGCGACTAGTGATGGTGTTGGGACTAGCTACCGGTGGGAGCCGGTAATCCAGATATTGATAGGTTGGTAGGGACCAGAGTGGTCTCAGTTCATCGGGAAGGCGGAAGAGGAATGACAGAAGTATCCAGTCTGTAGTAGTGCGGGAAAGCGGGTTATGGTGGAATTCAGTTAGTTGAGTCAAGGAGTGCTCGACACCAAGTTATGACAAGAGATGAGTGTCAGTGGTTACTGGCGGTGATGACCCGTATTGGATTTAACGGGAATAATGGATCAGTGAAGATAGGATCTTCACAGTGACAGAGGAAATAGTTGTTTGTGGAGCATCGCCTAGGGAAGGAAAGGGAATCGCGTGAGGAAAAATGGAAGGAATCTGAATATTATTAACTACAATATTAAAGCTGTCAAAACAATAAAAAATTGGCCTAATATTGTTAAAAAATCTGCAATATTAAAGTTGTCATAAAAAACTACCAAAATAGTAAATAAAAAGCAGTAAATGAAAACATATAAAAAAAAGTTAATTAATATATATACAATCCTACGGTTTGGTTTGGTTTTTATACGGTTTTTTTTAAATTTTAAAAACCGTAAGCCAAACTGTTCAATACGGTTTGAAAAGTTCGAACCGCAAACCAAACCTTAAAGAAAAATACAAATCGTAAAACTAAACCGATGACCGGTTTGGCTGGTTTCACGGTTTCAAACCAAACTGCGAACACCCCTAAATTGATGTGTGGAGAAGGAGGATGAGGGTGGTGCTGGTTGAGGGGTAATGGTGGAATGGATTTCAATTAGATTCAGTTAGCAATATTTTTTGGTATGTGCGAGTGAGATATTATTGATCCGGATAGATGTAAAGTTGAGCCATATCATAACATGGAGTTGACATAGTCAAACATTTTTGTCATATCAAAAGCAAGCATGACCTGAGTTGGTAAAGGACTAAACTGGATATTTAAATAGTGTAGGGGTTCCAAAGAAATTTTGCCAACCGAGGTTATTATAGGGCTCAAACCAACGGATTTCGCCCTTTTCGTTTCTTTCAAACCACTGCTTTCAAATGGGATACACCGCTTCCGTCATTGAAGTCCCCTTAGAGCGACGTCGCGGCCATAAAGAAACCCGCAACTACTCGCCGGATTCTCGTGCGCCAAGTGACCGTCGGAATCGCAGTTCTCGTCGCAGCCCAGACTATTCAAGGTACGATGATGAGTTCAATCGTCCGGGTAACCGTCGTTCCCCCGATTATTCAAAATCGAGGAATCGTAATCGCAGTGTTAGCCGTAGCCGGAGTCGCAGCCCGGACTATAGCAGGTACGATAATCAAAATAGTTATCGCCGCAATCATCGTTCCCCTGATTATCCTAGATCTAAAAGAAGCCCTAGCCCTAGAATCAAAACCATGAATACGAACAGGAAACCTTATTACGGTGACCAAAAGAAACAGTATCTTGATCGTAATAACCTGAACGGGAACGGGAACGGACCAGAGTCTGAATCCGACGAAGAGTTAAAAGGAGCCAGTTATGAAGATTACCGGAGGCTAAAACGTCAAAAGTTAAGGAAAATGTTGAGGAATTGTATATGGAACATCACACCTAGTCCTCCAAGGCGCGATGATGATCCCGATGAGCTTGAACCCGAGGAAATTGCAGAGAAGGATGCTGAAGAAGATAATGAAAAGTACAAGGATACAAAGTCTGAGTTAGATTCAAAGGAGAGGAGCCATTCATCCGAGTCTGAATCAGAATCAGAGGACTCGGAATCTGATTCAGATGATTCCAGATCGAGGAGGAGGAAGAAGAGCAAGCGTTCAAGTTCTAGGCGTAAGCGGAGAAGCAGGAAATCAGTATCCGTGAGTGACAGCGAATCAGATGAATCCACTGATGATTCTGAGGAGGAAGATAGGAGGAGGAAGAAAAAGAAGCAGAAGAGGAAATCCACCAAACGAAAGAGCAGCAGCAGGAGAGATAGTAAGAGAAAGAGAAGAAGTACATCAAGAAAAAGTAAAGATAGTGATTCTGAAGAAAGCAGCGAAAGTAATGGAGAAGAGGGATCATCAAAGGCTAAAAGAAGCAAGAAAAGGAGCTTAAAGGGCAGTGACAATTCAGCATCTGATAAGAATTCAGACTCTGAAGATGATGATAGAAGCAAACCACAGGTGGATGAACCAGTGAAAACAGAAGAAGCTGAACGGGAGTTGATATTGCTGAAAGAGATGATTGAATCAAGAAAGAAAGCTGGTTTAGATGATGATGATGATGAAGAAGCAGAAGTAGGTCCAATGCCATTGCCAAGAGCAGAAGGGCATATCAGCTATGGAGGTGCACTGAGGCCTGGTGAAGGTGATGCAATTGCACAGTATGTTCAACAAGGGAAACGTATCCCTCGAAGAGGAGAAGTTGGTCTTTCAGCTGAAGAGATTAGTAAGTTTGAGGATCTTGGTTATGTGATGAGTGGTAGTAGGCATCAAAGGATGAATGCAATTCGTATTAGGAAAGAAAACCAAGTTTATAGTGCTGAAGACAAAAGAGCTCTTGCCATGTTTAACTATGAAGAAAAGGCAAAACGTGAACAGAAAGTTATGGCTGATTTGCAGCGTTTGGTGCAACGTCATATTGGAGAAGAAACTGGTCCTTCTCATGATCCTTTTGGTGGAACTGGAAGAGTTGCAGAGGATCCTGCTGATGCTTGAGATCACAGAGTATGTTGTCTTTTACTTAATTTCTTCATATTTGTGTTATGTTTCTTTGTCATTGCTTTTACTTTACATACTTTTGTGGAATTGGATTTTGATGAATTAGAACCTTATTTATATTTGCCAAGTTTTAACCTTTTTGGACTTTGGATGTAATACCCAAATTTCATAAACAAGCAATCATAATTCATAAAGTAATAAATATCTATTTCCATCAAGATATTTGATACACAGACCCTCATGGATGTAGACTTGACAACATGTGGGCTGTTTAAATCTTTGTTTTTTGGATTCCTTTGCTTGTTAATGACATGTAATTAATGTGTTGGGTATTGATCATGATTGATAGTTATAACCTACCTGCCCCCATTTAAGACTCTTTGATATTTCCATCCGTTTCTTTGTAGCTCAAGTTTTCAAATCCAAAGGGAGAACTAAGGAGAGTCATTACAGTCTCTTTGTAAAGTTGCCATTTATAACTCAAGAAATTCACATCTGGCAATCGGATGGATTGCCCCACTAGATGAATGATGAATCTACTTTTTTGATGATTCAAGATGGGTTAAAAGTCATCTTCGATGTAGTGTTATATTGCACTTTTAAGTATCTAGTAAAAAGGTGATTGTTATTATATTTGATTTTACTTATCAAGTAAAATTGTGATTCGTGTTATATTTTATGGATAGTACTTGTGGCATACATTGTGTTGTAGAAAAAAAAAAGACAATTTAGGGACTGTTTTGTAATTTACTATTCACACAATAAACTTGTAAAACTAAAAACCATTTCTAAAGTAGTTTGTGTAAAACATGTACAAGTAACACTTTTTTTTTTTTTTTTTTTTTTTAATATCTTCAGGAACTCAACTGGATTTACGGTACACTAGCTAGTAAATGTGTAAATTGCATGACAAAGATATCCTTATATTTTCATTGAAACTCAAAGACTCTGTTTGACGCCTATAATCTACTTTATTTTATTTTTTATATTATTGCAATATAAGATTGTGCGAGACCTTTAAAGTAGTTTATAAATTAGTTTTTTAATAAGCAGTTTGAGATATAATTTATTGATAAGCCACAAAACTAGTTTTTTTTAGTGAGAATGCCAACCCAGCCTAAGAGCAATTCCAACCGTCCTTCATTTAACATTATTTTTGTCTTTTAGAGGCTAAAAATCCTTCAACCAACCTTCAAATTAAGTGTAATATGGTTTAAATCCGTTGTTTTAGCTTTCCAATATTTCACAACATATGTATTTGTCATACAATATCTAGTTAAACTAGTCCTAAACACAATATATGCAAAGTGCAAACCCTATCCATTTATAGCAGATCATACTAATACTATCCAAACATCAAACATGATAATTCTTGGCAACGACAAGACAATCTACTTTTGAAAGAAAAAAAAGAGAGACAGGGTGGAATCTCAATCTCATTCTCGATTTTGCTTTTTGACTTGCATCTGCACGATGATGTCTATTGACTATTGAGTAGTCCATAGAGGGAGGCAACAAAGTGGCTTTTCTCTCTCTCTAGCAGTAAAAAGTGCTTAATGTCCACTGTTTTATTTCATGCTATTGTAGCTTTCAAGTATTCATTCTTAATTACCTTTTTTTTTTTTTTTTTTTTTTCTTTCTTCTTGAAATTAGGCCTGTTTTGTTATTTTTTTTCTTCCAAAATATCTAACCACTGAGATAACATGCTAACAAAATTATAAAATATCAAAGGGGACCTAGCGTTATTAGGAGTTGTTGGATATGTCTCCATCAGCTAAAGGTTGAAGGTTTAAAGATTTAAAAGTTAAGTCAGTGAGTGCATGAAAGTTGTGTAGATTTAAGAGTAAAATTAGTGAGTACATGTGTTAATTTTTTTTTTTTTTTTTTTTTTTTTTTTTTTTTTTTAATAATATAATTAATGTGTGATATGTGGGAAATACACACATGACACATGCACTGCACATCTTGCATTACGTTAATTCAAAATGTGAAACTAAAACAAAGATGTTTAAGTTTGAAAGGTAAGAAAACCAGGTTGCTTTTTGGTTTTAGATTGGATCGGACTCAAAAGAAAGTTCAAAACTTGGTTTCTGGAAAAAGAAAACATAAAATTAACATTTGTTATTTTATACTATTCTAAGAATATTATAGAAAATTTAGGAAGTCACTGTACCTAAAAATTTAATAGTAGGTTATACCAATTTAGTTTTAACTTATAGAAAGAAAAAACATTGTGGGTGATAAAGCATGACAAGGATTTTAAAGATTTCAGAAAAAGAATAAACAATGCTTGCTTATATATATATATATATATATATATATATATATATATATATATATATATATATATAATATGGTCCAAAGCTTCAACATTACCGTCACATATCAGACATAAAAGCGAATCAACATCTATATCTTTCGTAATTAGATTGGCATTTGTAATTGTAGGCAAGCGATCAAGAATACTATGATACCCAAAACATTTAATCTTATATGCACAAACTTATTCCAATGAGCTGTAATTCATCCTTTTAACTACAGTACAAGTATAGTCAAATGACGACCTAAAGAAACCACGAAAATTTCGTAACCATCAAGCACCCAAACCCATATATCATTTGCATCCCAGGAAAACTGAGAATACATAATTGGATCTCTTCTAAGCCTCCTCCACTTCTCCTCGACACCATTTCCACCTTAACTCCCATGATAGAGCCTATCTTTCACCAAACAATCATTATCAACTTTAAGAGCATAAAGTCGTGGAAATCTATCACGAAAAGTAAATTCATCAATCCAATGATCGTTTTGTAGGATTTTCATTTCCCACATTCTTATTAAAAACATGTCTAAATAAATATTTTCTACTTGGATATGTTAATGGTTCCAATAATCTAGCTCTAGACTCTTTAAATTTGATTTGATTCCCACTTATTTAGATCCACCCATCAAACCATGAATAGTCATAATAATAGAAGTCCATTACCCATTAGGTTTGGTTGAAAATCTTCTTTATCAACCGCGAATAAACTTCCAATCTCCAAACCACCTTCATCTTTAGAGGCTGGAATGTTTTTCCATTTAACCCAAGATATATTTCGATCTCCGGGATCACAATCCCAAAAAATGTTAGCACACATAAATTCCAAAAGGTCAAGAATGGTGATCGATGCTTCAAAAAGAGACAAAAATATCCATCCAAGTTTCTAAGAAGTGTCTTAATAAGAATGATACAATCTCCTATAGACAAAGCTCTTGATTTTAATTAGAAAGAATTTTAAATAACTTATCTATAATACATTTCCATCCTTACAAAATGTCATGTTACTCTCTATGCGAAAACCATCAGGTACATGATTATTAATAATAACCATGCTTGCTTTTCAACCCCGAAGTAAAATAAAAAAACATCTTATGATTCAGAAGACATTCCTTGCATTTTATGTAGAAGACTATCCAAGTAAGATGATAACATCTGTAAATATACATAGTATATCTATTTTTATTTTATATATAATATAAAATATATTAGCTAACAAAAGAATAATATAGATTTTATATCTCTATATATCTAGGGGTAATGGAATACTATAACATTTAAGGGTAGAAATATACAGACTTGAAAGGACATCCATAATGTATTGAAATTTTATAGAGTTTAATGAATTGTCACATCAACATTTTATTTTTCATTTGACTATATTATTTTATTGCAACAATGCATGAAACTCTACAAATTTTAATGGAACATATTAAAGACATCATATACATACACATATTTTTCATTTATGAGTAGACATAATATTTATAAATCTATCACACCTTCAAAATGAAGCAATATAAACCATGCCTCTTGTTTTTTATGTTGAAAAGAAAATTAGTTTTACTCATATTTCTATCCATAAATCTTGTACAGACTCAAAATAAAAAAGCTATTTATATGTATATGAAGTCCTTCTTCGTACCTTTATTTTGATATAATCTCAAGAGAAATTGTATAAAACACATTAAGTTTATATAAAAATTTGATTTTATATTATTTTTATTTATTTTCTCAATTAAGTCGTTAAGTTTATAAATTTGTTATAAATTTAACCAATCGATCGGTTTCCTTCAGAAGTTTCATGTTTCTCACTTGTTGACTAGTCAAAACTTGATGTGGCTTACATATATGTTACTAATTACCAAATATTTAGGTTAAATTAAACATTTACGTAGATTTGTACCCACTTTCTCTTATTTCTTCGTTTTTTTTCCTCTTAGAGCATCACGATTTTATGCAATAACTTACCAAGGTCGCTCAAGTGGTTCATCACCCTAAAGTGGTGTAAGCAAGCCAATGAAATTTTGTAATAACACAATTGAAAAAAATAAAACCCAATTTCAAAATCTCCCAATCAAATTTTGTATAAACTTTATGTATTTTATATAATTTGTCATAATTCTAACTCCTCACAAGTTTATATGCAATATTTTATAGATCTATCAAGCCCTTAATTAATGACCTCAACTCCTCAACTAGGACTGACAATTCTCGATACGACCCACAACAAGACACGAAATAAATGAGTTTGGGTTGAATTTTTCAACCCGCCAAACCGTCAACCCGATAATTAAACGGGTAATATACGAGTTTCTTAAAAAATAAATGGGTTGACCCGCCAACCCGTTTATATTTTTAATAAAAAAATTATTTTATGTTTAAATGTTATTATGTATCTAGTATTAATATTTAATAAGTATTATATAATATATACCATTTATTCATAGACTATTTGACGGTTTTGAAATTTTAACTCGTGATGGATGATCTAAGGTCGTAAGTCGTAACCTGTAAGACTAAGTCTGTAACCATTTTGCCCATTTGCCCTAAATAATAATCTCAAAATCAAATTGCGTATGAGTATATCTCCCTCTTCTAGACATCCAGTCTCCTGGTCTCCCACAATCCCACTTTCACCTGTGTTACTTTGTGATCAAAATCAGATATCAAAATGGTGTTAGAGAATTAACTTTGTTTTTTTGGGAGAAAAAAATGAGAATTGTGGCTATTACTTTAACACTTGAATTATCTATGTTTGTATTAATGTTTAGTTTGAATATGTTTCTATGAATATTTTTAATTTTCGTTTGGATGTTTAAAACTTAAGTGTCTAAAATTCGGATATGTTTGAATCAACCATCAAGAATTTATTCATGTTTCATTGTCAATTTTATTTATGGAATCGAACCCACGAACCCAAATCTGACCCACGAACCCGCCAACCTGTGAACCCGTGTAAATAAATGAGTTTGCGGGTCATATATGAGTTTATGCTCCAAACCCGTCAACCCGCGACCCGCGACCTGTATATTTAAATGGGTCGTGTTTGGGTTGACATGTTTTGACCTGCCAACAAGCAACCCGCGACACGCCAACCCGAACATAACTCGATTGTCAGGCTTATCCTCAACTTTATTTGCAACATTTTATAGATCTATCAGAGGATCATAGTTTACAGATCTATCACACCATCGATTATAAATTACAAATATTAAAACTAACGATTAAAATATCCATTGATACATATAAAGTTGCGGGATCCAAATCCGCCAATTGGAAAATCTTTATCTTCAAGGGTCCAAAAACTAGTTCCCATAATACCCCGATTAAGAGATGTTCCTTTTTTCACATGCCTTTCATTATTGTTATTTACATTCTTAAGCAAAGATATTGTTGAGCAAACGCCATTT